AAGGGGTGGGAGGGAGCGGGGCTGGCCAGGAGGAGGTCAGGGGAAGTGGTGGTGGGGGGAAAATGGACAGTGGGGAGCGGGGCTGGCCCAGGTGCACGCAGATCCCGGGGTGCTGCCCATCCCATGCACGGTCCCGGCAGGGTGCACGGGCGAGTCTGGCCCTGGGGATTCCATCCCACCCCAGCCCCGCCCCTCTCCTCTCTACTGTGTAGTTGCATACTGCCTAGCTGTTAGACACACTCATGCAGTGTGAGCGTGTCTACCAGCCACGTAGTATGCAATTACTTACTGATACTCATGATAATAATAAAAATTACTTAATTAGAAAATACCGGACATTTACATGTCTGGTATTTTCTCAATCTGTTTCAGAAAGCTCAAATACCGGACTGTCCGGTTCAAAACTGGACACCTGGCAACCCTATATAGAATCACAGCAGTCACACAGAAAAGTGGATTCCAGCTAGATACTGTCTCAAAGGCCCATGCCATTCTTAGGATTTTGAGGGCCCTGAACAATACTATTATACTGGTTTCCCAAGGCCCAATGAAAGCTGGGGGGAGGGACAGTTTTTTAGAGCTGCAATTTTATAATCTTCAGCACACACTAATGAAATATTTTTAAAGCATGTTTTAAACAAAGGTCCTATTGACAAACAGTAAATTCAGAAACTGACAGTATATACCTGGGGTTGGCAAATGCCTGTTACATGGCTTCATTGCCACTTGAACAGCTCTTTCATGGGTTCATTGTTAAGCTAATAGGTCCGGCAACCTTTTTCACTTTTAAGTCAACTAGATCCTTTCCCAAGGAAGCAGAGCCACAGTACAGGGATAGGAAGAGGCAGATAGGTGGTCAGTAAGACCTAGTGGTACCCCATATTTTCAGGTGCCCAACACAACTGCATATTCTGTGTATGGGTAAGGGCAGCACTGCAAAAGCCAGTGCAACATCTGCTGTGGTAGGGCTTGGGTACCTGGCTTATTCTGTAACTACTTGGGCCAGTAGGGTTGGGAGCATGGAAGAGCAATAAAACTCAGCAATGGGGAAGGAATGCTTCACATCACCCACTTGCAACTCACTCAGCTAAGACTAGGGTCAGAGTTAATGGATGCCCAAGGAATTGAATTCAGTAGGATGCTCAATTGCTTCATGCTCAACTGTTTTATCAGACAGGAACAGAACTGCGTGCTTACCTGCCTAAAGCTAAGCATGCACACAAGGGCTTTGCTGAATTGAGGCCTAAATCCAGATTTATTCAGGATTAAAATACTATTTGAACAATACAATATTTTCTTCAATTAGTCTCTAAGCCCAGATCTGTTTCTTCTATAATTTATGACTGGATTCACGTACAATTTTTTTCTGGCTTCTACGTAAACTTAAATACAAAATGACCTAGATCATGGAAGACAACTACAAAAAATGTTGTGATGTTGTGCAGGTGGACAGCTTGTAAAGATGAGCCATCCGTGGCCCACTACCTAAATTCCAGGTAAGAAATTTTCATACCGGATATGGCTGTGAAGTGAATTTTTCAGGCCCAAGGAGTAAGTCTACACAAAGCAGGAATAACTCCCCTGCTTTGAGGGCAACAGTCCTGGTCTGTTGAGAGCAGAAGTTCTGTTAAGTTTCAGGTCATTACACCATGTCTGAGTAAATGTAATTTTATTTGTTTTGTTTTTATTAACTAACTGGACAGCGAGAAGGTAAAAGAAAACAGGAGGTTAAGTATTTAGATGAAAAGATTCATTGTTTTTGGGGTATTTAAAGTTGTGTGGCAGTGATATCTCCTTTCATTGGCTCTCTCTTTTGGGAAATGAAGTGAGTGCAATAAGGAAGACACACTCCCTAGATGGGAATCTCTGAGTCGGCTGCATTCCAGCTCTGCAAATACCTTCCACTGGCCTTTCTTACAGAGCCATGACCCACACAGAGGCTTACTCACAGCATGTACGTGATGACGCCTACACTCCACATGTCAGTTGGGAACGAAACAAAGTCATAGTTCACCACTTCGGGAGCCAAGAATTCAGGAGTGCCAAAATTAACTTTCAGCTTCTCACGAGGTTTGTACCTTCATCAGAAACAAGAAGGGGCATCAGCACTGCAGCGACTAAGAACATGCACTGCACACCAGCAAAAAGAACAGTCACATTGTCCATACTACAGCAAAACTGGACAGGTACATTCTATAGCTAAAACTTTAAAGATGCAGAATGTCAGCCCTTGCATCCCCACAGAGAGATTTATACATATATATGTGTATCATTCACAGCACTTCCATTCAGTTTGACCAAATGCTTAAATGAAGCAACCATTTAAATCTGAACAGAATCAAAGAAACTAAATTATTTGTTTTGACTTTTTGAATTTAGTGAATCACGCTTATGATGCATATTCTAACTTTGGCATTCTGCTTCAAATCAGAAAGCCACAGTTAAAAACTGCTCATTATCCATCATTTAATTTTACTAAATTAGGTAAGTGCCTAGAAAAAGCCTGTGAAAGACTCATGATAATAAAAATAAAAATGAAATAAATAAAAATAAAAATAGGTGCCACTAACAGTTGCATGATTACATATTAGACATCAAGAACGCTAACAGAAAAAACAGTAGGAGAGCAGTTTACCTTCTTGGATACACAGTTATAGATACACTAGCACATAAAGAAGTATATATATAATACTTTTCCTGCAGAACAACAGAGTGACATCATCACGTCACTCTGTATGCCGCCTGCCTCCCCTCTCTCTTCCCCCTCCCCTTTCCTCAGTGCGCAGCTGCCGCATGGAGTCTGCAAGGCCTCAAAGTGGCTCTCTGCTCACCCAGCGGGCAGCGGGACAGCAGGGGGCTTGCGAGGCCTCAGGACACTCCTCCCGGAAGCCGGGGCAGAGCCAGGCCTGACATGCCACAGCTGGGAGAGGGGGGAGATTAGGGTTAGGTCACAGCTGGGCGGGGAGGAGGGGGAAGAGGGGAAGGAAAAAGGGCCCAAGCTGGTGGGGCCAGAGAGGAGAGGAGAAGGGGCCTAGGCTGGCGTGGCCAGGGGAGGGAGAAGGGGCCTGGGCTAGCAGGAGGGGAAGAGAGAAGGGGCCCAGAGTGGCACAGCCACAGCCTGGCCCTCCTCAGTGACTGGGGGGAGAGGGGTTGTCCAGTGTAGCAAGCAGAGGGAGCAGCCCCCTAGTGTGTGTGTGGATAGAGGTAGATCTATCCCTACCAGTGTTCCCTCTAAGCTGTGTGGCAGCACAGCTTCACAGGTGATTAATCAGCCCCAGTCAGTCAGCTCCATGAACAGAGCCCTGAGCCTCTGACTGGGTGGGGCTGATTAATCACCTGTGAACAGAGGTGGATATAGGGCAGGGCGAGTGGGGTGGCCACCCCGGGCCCAGTGCATGCACCGTGTCAAAGGGGGGCCCCCCCGAAATTGTGCTGCCCTTGGCCCCGCAAAATCGTCATCTGCCCCTGCCTGTGAATCTGTGCTGTCCAGCGGCGTAGAGGGAACACTGATCCCTACGGGTATGTCTACACTACCCCCCTAGTTCGAACTAGCGGGGTAATGTAGGCATACCGCACTTGCAAATGAAGCCCGGGATTTGAATTTCCCGGGCTTCATTTGCATAAGCGGGGAGCCGCCATTT